CGCGTCCAAACTCGCCTCCCGAAGTAACCCTCGCCTTCTGAGACAAATTTTTGGAGTAAATACACCTCGCCTTCCGAAAACCTCGCATACAGGGACAATCGCATTCCGAGGTACCACTGTACACCCATTCCTACTTCCAAAAACAAAAACAGCGTCAGGACGAAGGAGACGCCAAACCGCACCAACTCACCTGCAGAACATAGGCGCTGAAGGGCCATGACGCAAGCTTTCAAGTCCATAGCCGCCGGAGGCGGCCAGTGCGCCCATGCTGGAGAGGAGGAGAGCGGCGAAGGAGGCTCCCCACCCTAAAACGCAGGGAAAAACCTCGTGACTTTCCCACAGCGGCACCCCAGAACACCCCCAAGCAACGGGGCACGGATTAGATTAAGAAAAGAGCGGGAGGCGAAGCCCCCCCCCCCCAGAGAGAAAATGGATGCAGAACACGTGTGCACACCGCCCGGAACCAAAACAAACTCCACAGCGCATGCGCAGGACGCGAAAGAAAAGTAGCCCAACAAGGCGAGAAGTAGCCCCACCGGCGACAAGCAGCCCACTGGCGACAGTACCCCAAACTGCTACAAGGAGCCCAACAGCAACAAGGAGCCCAAAACGGCGACAAGGAGCGCAAACGGCGACAAGGAGCCCAAACGGCTACAAGGAGCCCAAACGGCTACAAAGGAGCCCAAACGGCTACAAAGGAGCCCAAACGGCTACAAAGGAGCCCAAACGGCTACAAAGGAGCCCAAACGGCTACAAAGGAGCCCAAACGGCTACAAAGGAGCCCAAACGGCTACAAAGGAGCCCAAACGGCTACAAAGGAGCCCAAACGGCTACAAAGGAGCCCAAACGGCTACAAAGGAGCCCAAACGGCTACAAAGGAGCCCAAACGGCTACAAAGGAGCCCAAACGGCTACAAAGGAGCCCAAACGGCTACAAAGGAGCCCAAACGGCTACAAAGGAGCCCAAACGGCTACAAAGGAGCCCAAACGGCTACAAAGGAGCCCAAACGGCTACAAAGGAGCCCAAACGGCTACAAAGGAGCCCAAACGGCTACAAAGGAGCCCAAACGGCTACAAAGGAGCCCAAACGGCTACAAAGGAGCCCAAACGGCTACAAGGAGCCCAAACGGCTACAAGGAGCCCAAACGGCTACAAGGAGCCCAAACGGCTACAAGGAGCCCAAACGGCTACAAGGAGCCCAAACGGCTACAAGGAGCCCAAACGGCTACAAGGAGCCCAAACGGCTACAAGGAGCCCAAACGGCCAGAATCCCGCTCAAAAGGACAGAATCCAGGTGGGGCGCAATGGAGCCCAAGGCCCCCAAGGCCGCTCCTCCCCAACCCCAGGAGCCTCTACACCAGGCCCCGGGGCCGAGTCGACCTCCAAAGCCCCGGCCCCACAAGAAAAAGCCGGGGCAGCCGAGAGAGCTGGAAGAGAAGGGGCTCACTGGTCAGACCCCGGAGCATCGGCCGGAGGAACAAACTCGAATGCCTCCGCAGCTACCCTGGATGGGGCAACCCCCGAAACTGCCCAAGTCTCAGAACCTCTAACCCCGCCTCGACCCCGAAGCCTGCAGATGCATAGGGGCCGGAAGCGGGAGGGGGAAAAACAAGGGGGGCGTGGAAGAACCAAGGCCGAAGCGACCAAAACCCCCAAGTCTGGGTCCCTACACAAGCGGGGCAGCATCGGGGCGTCCGGGGAAGCGACAAACCGGAGCGCGTTGCAACATCCTACCCTGCAACGTGCGAGCTGCCTGCACCCACGGGAATTCATCAGCAGACTGGGTGAAAGGAGTCACGAACAAGCAACAAAGCTCGCAGGACTCAAGGATCGAATGTGTCACCGACCCAACAGGCAGCATCATGGAGGCAAAAACAAGGCGACACCCTGAGACAAAGGGACAGAGCAACCCCTCAACTCGCACAAAGCGAGAGGGGACGCAAGGGTCTCCACTATCAAACCCGAGAGCCCCCGTGGAGTTTCCCAGGGCACCTAGACTGGGTCTGCGAAGGGTTATCCCAGGCAGGGCACTGCTAACCGGCGCCTCAAACTACCAAGCAAATTGCTAAAGCTGAACCCACGGGACGTGTCCACCCGTGAGGGCGAGGCAGGGGGTGCCACCACACAAACGAACCTAATATAAGGGGGAGGGGGGGAACACAAGGCAGACCCCCCTACCAGGCAAAAACAAATATAAAAGAAAAACCACACAAGTGGACAACGTACCCAGAGGGAACAGAGCCGGCCGCTGTCACAGGTGAAAACTAGCTACGCAGTACCCTGCGCCCCACCAGTGCTATAACAACCACTTACCCCAAGGTAAACAAGAAAGTAAAAACTCCAAACACTCGGTGCGGCCAAACACCAAGCAGCGAAAAGCCATCAGAAGAAGACCCAAGGTAACTTGTGGAAGGCAACCCCAAGCCCCAAGGGCGGTACTTACAGGGCACTCAGGGAAGGTGACCCTAAGCACATGCAGCCCGAGTACCTGAGAATACTACTCCCAGCTCACACGACCACCGTAAGAGCAGCACTGCAAACAAGACACAGCACTGAGACAAGACCGGAGCTGGAGCCACACGACCGTGCATTATCCCATCAGCCGAGGAACTGAGGCGGGGATCACCGGCGCGGGGGTCTGGGGCTCCCCCTTCCCCCTCCCGGGGAGGGGGAAGCTGCGCAGACATGCAGCATAGCTCGTGTGATGTCATGCTTGTTAGTTCGTTTTCCTGGGGGAGTTCTGTCTACAAGTTTGTCGATTTTTGTTGTTAACCAGAATAGGGGTTTGTTTTGTGGCGCTTACCTTTCTGGGTGCCTGTCCCGGTTGATGGCAGATATAGAATGCTCCAAATCACATGTGCATTTCTATGGGCCATTGCTCCCCGTGCCTCTCTGAGGGGGCCAGGTTCTGGCTCGTGGTCCCCAGTAGGCCTAGAACTCCACCCACATCGACTGATGCAAAATAGTTAGGGTATCCATATCAGCCATGGATAGCTCCGGGGAGCCGTAAGGGCTCCCCCCCAGAAAAACTACGAACAATCAATCAGACACATTGAAATAATTAGGTAATTATCTCTTTGTGGCAACTCCAGCCTGACAGCTGGCGAGCAACAGACCGTCTGGGTCGCACGCTGAGTCAACGCCTGTTTTTTGCCAGACTTTCCCACCCTATAGCGGGCAATATATGCCACTTACATTTTTTTTCCCCATGATCAGTGAACACAAATTAACAGGTTTAGGAGAATTTTTTTTTTTTGTATGCGCCTGTGGGTGACACATGTTAAATAGCCAGGCACCACTTAAGGGTTAATGTCCCATGTCTACACAAGGTTCACATCAGCTTCCTCAGGGCTCTAGTAAACAGACACCAATTAAAAACAAGATTGTGGGTAACATTCCCGGGTGTGAGAGCCTCAGTACTGATTGAGCAACCACGGCTGGCACATGCAGCATGAGCTAACTGCACTGCTGTTCAGCTTGTGACCACAGCATTGCCTAAAAATGTCAAAATATATATGTACCTGCTATTATTTAGCAATGATAGTATTCCAGAAGACCCCTGACTGTGATAAAAATGACCAGGATTCTGATAATAGCAGGATTGTTGTGATAATTCTGTAGGGAATTCTATTGCGAAGACAATGATAAATGAAAGTGAAAGTCAAAATGAAAGACTTGAGACGAGAATTGAGATGTCCAAAGTGATGTGTACACATTTTATTGCTCTGGCTCGCTCCCAGGTAACGCGCTCTCACTTTCTCGCCGGGCTTTTGGCCTTTATATGCATTTAATCCTGTAGAGAATTCTATTGCGAACACATTGATACTAAATTGAAAAACCTAGGACGAGAATTGAGATGACAAAGTTGAAAAGAATATTCACTTTTCATTGTGAGAAGCGCCTTGGGGTGGCGCAGCTCTCTCTTTCTTGTAACCGCGGCCTGTTTTCATCATGTCGGCGGGTGGAGATCGCTGTTGTTTTTTATATTATATGCATATAGGCCTGTTGGGAATTCTATTGCGAACACATTGATACCAAAATAAAAGACCTAGGACGAGAATTGAGTTGACAAAACTGAAAAGAGTGTAAACATTTTATCACTTGTGCGCTCCCGGGTAACTTTCTCTCACTTTCTCTGTTAGTTGCGGATGGTAAGCCGGGCTTTTGGAGTTTGTATGCATTTAGTCCTGTAGAGAATTCTATTGCGAACATATTGATACCAAATTGAATATCTTAGGACGAGAATTGAGCTGACAATTCTCGAAAGTTGAAAAGTTGAAAAGATTATACACTTTTCAGAATTTACCACGCTCTCCCTCGCGCTCCCGCGGAACGCCCAAGCCCACCTGGGGTAGTGGGGAGGTCCTGCGCCCGGTGCGCGAAAGTGTTAATTTCTACCACAGACATGGCCACACATTTACAATGCTAACCAGCATATTTACATTTTCTTCTGTCCTCCATGGACAGGGGTGAGAGATCTGTTAAAACATATAGTCCAGGAATTTATTGAACAATCAACCACAGGTGATTGTAGTGCTTTTAAAATGCAAATCTAACCTACAGATATAAATACATAGATACACAGAGTTACATCTGCCCTACATAAAGTGTTCGATGTGTCCTTTACATAGCCTCATTAATGTGCATTTACAAAGGAGAAATGTAATTTTGATCAGCTTCCACATATAAATATACTGCTGTTATGATGGAAGGGGATGCCACTTCCAAACACTAACACCTCTCCTCCTCCCCCCTCCCCTCCTCACTGTCTTCCACATGCCAACAAGAGTCCTCAATAACGATAAGGTACCTAATAGTATTATTCAGTATAAAATGTATTTTTAGTTAATATATTTGGGGGGTGTGAAACGAATTAATTCAATTTACATTATTTGTTATGGGAAAATTAGTTTCGGTTTTTGTACCGTCACTGGGAACGGATTAAATACGAAAACTGAGATACCACTGTATATTAAAGTTTATACAAGATAGGAAACATACTTGAGTATGATGTGGTGGAGGTTGCTGCTGTTGTTGCTGATGATGCTGCTGCTGTTGCTGATGCTGATGTTGATGATGCTGCTGCTGTTGGTGTTGTTGCTGCTGCTGTTGTTGGTGTTGTTGCTGCTGTTGGTGTTGCTGCTGTTGCTGCTGGTGTTGTTGTTGGTGTTGCTGTTGTTGGTGTTGCTGGTGTTGTTGCTGCTGCTGCTGCTGCTGCTGCTGCTGTTGGTGGTGATGGTGGTGACTGCTACCAGGAGAGGTCCCCATTCCCGCTGGCCCACCACTACCCATTCCACCCATCTGAAACATTTGCACATTGTAAGGTACAAGTACAACACATTACTGTACAAGTACAACACATTACTGTATAATGATCAAACCACACATGAGAAGATAGAGAAACGACAACATTTTGGTGGTGGTGGTGGTGGTTGTTGTTTACTTAGCAATACCTTTCAGAACAAAAGTTCCAAGTAGCACGGACTCTGGTGAGCCCATAGTGGACTTGCCTGGCACAGAAGTGGGGCAGTAACAACATTTTGGTCTGTCCTGGATCATTATCAAGTCATATGCGAGGGAGAGATGATGATGATGATGATGTTTTTGTTTTAGATTCAGCTACTCAGAACAAAAAGTTCGAGTAGCACGGGCTATGGTGAGCCCGTAAGTGGAGGCTCTTTGGTGCCATTATCTGTATCAATAGCTAATACTGGAGATCTGGGATGAATGGGGGGGGGGGGGTGTCTTCATGATGAATTTCAGCCATTTCAGAGGGCTGGTTGTACCAGTACCAGTCATGAAGCTGGTAGGGTTAGTGTAGACCTCTAGGTCTTCTTTCTTTTTTTCTTTTTCTTTTTTTGGCAGAGACTTTGGACGAGCCGTGCCGTCATTGGAGTTTGGTGAGGTGGCTTCCACGAGGTCCTGTACCGAGTAGGTGTTGTATCTGTGGTGCAGTGGTGGAACTCCTACCAAGATTTCCTCGTCAGAGGAGACCGTAACAGAAGTGACCGTAGTAGGTGTTTTCGTCTTTCGTCTCGCAGCCTGAGGTAGGTAGGCTCAGGTGTTATGGAATAGTGGTAGAAGCTATTTCAGGAGCATTGGTGGTGCTAATAGTATTTATAGACAGCGTGTCTGCTAGCATGTCTGCTGAGATGATGGTAGAAGTGTTGGGAGCTGGAGAGAGAAATACCTCTGTGTCTTGGGTGGTCCTGGAGTCTGTACCTGCTTGATACATGTTTGATGGTGTATTGGGAGTTCTTCTACTCCCCAAGCCTGGCCCGAGGCCAGGCTTGACTTGTGAGAGTTTGGTCCACCAGGCTGTTGCTTGGAGCGGCCAGCAAGCCCTCATACCCTCCACAGCTCGGTTGGTCTGGCACTTTTTTTTTAGAAAACAATCTAGTTTTTTCTTGAAGATGTCCACAGTTGTTCCTTCAATATTTCTTATAGTTGCTGGGAGGACGTTGAACAACTGCGGACCTCTGATGTTTATACAGTGTTCTCTGATTGTGCCTATGGCACCTCTGCTCTCCGCTCTATATTGAGATCGACTTCGTGGTCGTCCTGGTGGGAGTCTTCAAAGTGGTAGTGGAGGCAGTGAGACTTGCATTCGGGGTGATGATAGGGTGCAGGCCATTAGCTAGGTATTGTGCATTAAGTTCCTCGAAGAATCGTTGATTGTCTGGTCCGGCAAGCCTCTCTGCTAGTTGAATAAGATCAGGGATAATGCCTGCACATAATGCAGGCATTATCGAAGGTTGCGAAGGTGCCTGTGTGGTCATGGGTCCCCCATTGTGAAGCCTGGGTCACCTTATGGGAGGAGCCACTATTTGGTAAGACTGGAAAGTTTTCTGGTTGGTTGGTGGGTGCCGAGGTGGTGGGTTGAGCACCTGGGGCTCTGGTCGCCGAGGTGGTGGGTTGAGCACCTGGGGCTCTGGTCGCCGAGGTGGTGGGTTGAGCACCTGGGGCTCTGGTCGCCAAGGTGGTGGGTCGAGCACCTGGGGCTCTGGTCGCCAAGGTTGAAGGGTTGTTTCTCTTGGCTTCAACCTAGGCCTTAAAGTTTTCCTGTCTGCAAGGGCAGCGGTAGGAAATTGTGGGGTGATTGCCATCGCAAAGCAAGCAGCGATGGGTTGTTGCATTGTATATCGAGTAGTGATGGTCCAGTTAGCATGCGTTCTGCACAGGTAACACTTTTGGATGGGGTGCTGACACTTGTTGGTGGTGTGGGAGAGCTCGAGGCACTTGAAGCACTGTTGGAGCTCATGATATCGCTCCTTTTCTATGGAGAGCCCCTTCGGCTCCCCGGAACGTTACTGGGCTGATGTGTATATACTGTATATTAGACCATGGCAATAGTCAATTGATGGAGTTCTAAGCCTACCGGAGACCAGCGCCAGAACCTGGCCCCCTCAAGAAAGGCACGAGGAGCAATGACCTATAGACACCCCCATGTAATTGGAAGCGGTCTGTCTGCCATCTACCAGGTCTGTCACCCAGAAAGGTAGGAATTCCAAAACAAACTACAGCTGGTAAAAATTGCAAACCGAAAGCCGAACTAGTAAACAGAACTCCCCAAACGAAAACAAGCAAACAAACATCACCACCACAGCCATCGCTCCGCTATCTGTGCAACTTCCCCCTCCCCAGGAGGAGAAAGGGAAGGTCCCTGACCTCCCACGCTGGCTAGCCAACCTCAGTTCATGAGGCTGTTGTGTTGGTGATGGTCGATTTACTCTGGCTCCACCTTTTGAGCAGAGCAGCATAGCAGTGCTGCTGCTGTTCTGTGTTGGTGGTGTGTGAGCCAGGAGTAACACACGAGTACTGAGGCTGCATGCACCTAGGGCCACCTTCCCTGTATCCCCTGTAAGTACTGCCCTTGCACCATAGGGTTAACTTCCAGGAGCCATTCGGGAAAGGCTACCTCCGCGTGGTTCGGTGGCTGTTCAGTAATTACCCGCCCTTGGGGTTGGTATGAGGTACCTGCTTGATGGGGTTCTGGGAGTTCTTCTACTCCCCAAGCCCGGCCCGAGGCCAGACTTGACTTGTGAGAGTTTGGTCCACCAGGCTGTTGCTTGGAGCAGCCCGCAGGCCCACATACCCACCACAGTCCGGCTGGTCCGGCACTTTTTTTTAGAAAACATTCTAGTTTTATCTGGAAGATCTCCACGGTTGTTCCAGCATTATTTCTTATAGTCGCTGGGAGGACGTTGAACAACCGCGGACCTCTGATGTTTATAGTGTTCTCTTATTGTGCCTATGGCACCTCTGCCCTTCACTGGTTCTATTCTGCATTTTCTTCCTTATCATTCGCTCCAGTACGTTGTTATTTTACTATGTAGATTTTGGGACCTGGTCCTCAAATATTTTCCATGTGTATATTATTTGGTATCTCTCTCATCTCCTTTCTAGCGAGTACATTTGGAGAGCTTTGAGACGATCCAAATAATTTAGGTGGTTTATTGCGTCTATGCGTAACGTAAGTGACTACTGAGCAGTACTCGAGACGGGACAACACAAGTGACTGGAGGAGTACAACCATTGTGATGGGATCCGTGGATTAGAAAGTTCTCGTAATCCCTCCTATCATTTTTCTGGCAGACGCAATATTTGCTTGGTTATGCTCCCTATACGTTAGGTTGTCGGACATCATTATTCCCAAATCCTTGACACGCTTTTTTTCCCTACTATGAGCAGATTTGATTGTGTTTTGTACCCTGTATTATGTTTCAAATCTTTATTTTTGCCATACCTGAGTACCTGGAATTGATCACTGTTAAACATCATGTTATTTTCTGCTGCCCAATCAAAAACTTTGTTGATATCTGCTTGTAGTTTTTCAATGTCTTCAGCCGAGGTAATTTTCATGCTGATTTTTTTGTCATCTGCAAAGGATGACACGAGGTGGTTAGTAGACGATTATTATTCCTGTTTGGCCGTGGGTAGTATCGTCGCTGGCTGGGGCACAAGGTACTGTGCAGCTTCTGATATACGCATAGCGGCCGGTTCGGTTCCCCTGGAGATGTGCTTTTGCAGGGCTTTTTTTTTCTACTGTTTTGTTTTGCCTGGTGAGGATCTGCCTGGTGTGGCTGTAGGACCATCTGTATGATTTTGGTGGCCCTCCGCTAGGTCCCTGTGCATGCACACATCGCAGGGGTTCAGCTTTTAGTTTGTTTGCTTGGTAGCTCTGGGATAACGGATTAGCAGTACCTTGCCTGGACTTCCTTTAGCAGTCAGCCTAAGGGCCCTGGGAACCCACATTGGGGCTCATTGGTCCGATGGAGGATACCTCCGAGTCCCACCTCACTTCGTGCGAGTTTGAAGGTTGCTCTATCCCCTTGTCTCAGGGGTGACACTCACTGTCTTTGCCTCCGCCATGTTGCCTATGGAGTCAATGACACCTTTGACCCAGAGTCCCGCGAGTGGTGTTTTATCTCCCTTTCGCAGCGGCCTGATACTAGATGTAGTTTTTTATCTTGATTTTGCATAGGAGAAAAAATATTTTGGATTTCTCTCTATTTCACTGATGGCCTTTTGCTCCCTTTGTGTCTCTTGGATTTTACACGATTCTTGTAGCTGTAGTTCAATAGTTTCTATTTCTCTATCTATCTTTCTTCGCCGTTCTTGAGATATGATGTGCCTCTCAAGTTGTTCTGCGATTCGTTTTCTTTGCCTATAGACAGAACGACGTTCATGTTCCAATCTGCATCTCTTCCTCTTATTTCTTGTGGGTACAGTATGCAGTTTGAGTATATTTCTAGTGCTGCTCAGCTTTTTTTTTTTCTGGCACTGGTTCAGGTTTCCATTTTCTAGCTGTTCTTCCCATCTTATTTCCGTGAGGTCTTGGTTTATATGCTCCCAGTTTATCTGTTTATTATTGAAGTTGAATTTGCTGAAATCTCCTCCACCGGGAATCTGGACTGGTTTTGAAGGTCTACTCCCCATGGTTGTCATAACTTCAATTAAGTTGTGATCTGAGTAACAGGTATTTGTAATCATTATGTTCCTGATCAATTCATCATTTTTGGTGAAAATGAGGTCCAGCGTGTTCTCCTTCCTAGTTGGTTCTACTATTTGCTGGTTTAAAGAAAACTTGTCACACATCCCTAGGAGGTCATTTGCACGTGACTGTTCATTTAAGCTACTTCCCGGAATTCTCTCTGATATACATATTGAATATTATTATACATACACTGTATTAGCGAGGGTTTTCCATTTCAGGTGCTGTAGGTTGAAGTCCAAAAGCAGGATGATGTTTGGGGCGGGATTTGTGAGGTTTTCTAAGCAGTGTTCTATTTTCATTAGTT